GAACAGCCCATTGGACCAAGATGGGTGTGCAGACCATCTCCTAGAGGGAGAGGAGTTGTTTAATGTCACACACGCCTGGTTCGAAATGGACCAGGCAGGCTAACAGGGAACTCGAGGATCCTTTCCCCCAACTCCTGATTTCTTTGTCCTACATGGACCTCAGATCCACTCTGTTATCATGGTCCCTGTACAAACTATATTATTATTATTGTGGTTCTTACTATTTTTAGGCCAAACCATATGAAATTGCCAATTTTCGGCCATTTCTGATCTACAAGAAAGTCCATTTTAGTTGGGTCAACGCAATGTTACTTTTTAATTATATAGTACCTGTGACAGTCCCTCCAACCCCAGAGCTTCCAGAACGTGACCAGTGACTCATGGCTACTTCCCTATTCTACAGGTGGGGAGACACAGGCACAAGGTAGGGAGGGGACCTTCCCAGGCTGCATGGGCAGTGACAGAGGGCTGCGACTCCAGCCCTTTTTTTTTTGGTGGGGGGGAGTAACCTACCTCCCCAGCTTCCAAATTCTTCTCCCTTCCCAGAACCCCATCTCCACCTCTGCTGCCAGCCGAGCTCCTTTGTTAACTGGAAGTAACTCACATTTTCTTACAAAGAGTATCACAAGAGTACCTGTGCCGTGCCAGGCACAGAGCATCAAGACTGAACACAGTGGAGGGCAGTCCCAGCCACGGTCTGGTCAGGGTCTTGTCCACTTACCAAGTAGGTAACTAAATGTATGCACTTCCAACAGTGCGATTCTGAGAAGGATGGGAGTGGGGCCTCCTCGGGGAGAGTGGACAGGGATGGCCTCTCTGCGGGGGTGACATTTAAGCTGCGACCTCCTGCAGGGCCCTCGCTACTGACCTTACCTTTTTGAATCTATGCTCTTGTGCCAGGCTGACCTCTTGGCCCTTTCCTTGGCTGTGGGTCCAGGGAGGTTTTAGGCCTGAGGTTGACAACTGTCCAGTAACTGAAGCATCGAAATCCCTGTGCAAAAGCAGCTTGTCAGCTTTAGTGACACCCACCTGCTCCACACGTCCCTCGCCCCACTTCACCCCCCACTTCCTGGCGGTTAATGTAGGAATTTTTTAAAAGGGAAGAAATATGAATCTTGGCATTTATTTCCTTGGACTTTGAGAGGCTGGAACTGTGGAGCATGTCATGGCCTGGGCCAGTATCTCTCCTGGGAATAAGGTCCTAAGGTCCCTTGCTAGGAAGGCCCAGGTCCCCGTGAGACTGCTGCTAATCTGGGTGTTAACGTGCCCCTTGAGTAGGCAGAGGGGTCCCAGAGCTGGAAGGCAACCTAGTGAAGAGGAGAAGAGATGGAGAAAGGGAAGCCTTGATGGGGAGGGACAGAAGCCAAAGGCCACTGAGGAAGGAGGCTGTGTTCATAGGGGACTGGCCAGTGTTGAGGGGTTTTCAGTGTCACCTGGAAGCTCATGGTGACCCCACGAAGTGGGTTGTATTATAATTCCCATTTCACAGGTGAGGAAACCAAGGCTCACAGCTAGTTTTCCACGAGGGCATTCCGACCCCAGGGCCTGGGCTCTTCCCCAGGGCATTCCGACCTGTAGCTGCTTCTGCATCTAACCTCACTGAGCAAAGGCCTGTCAGACCAGTACTGTCTTCCTGAAGGCGCGAGGTTGTGCCAGGACGCCCTGACCATGTATGTGGATGGTTGGACGGACGGGCACTGAGCACATGCATGTGTTGTGTGTTCCTGGGCCTTTGTCTCCATGAGTGTGTTTCTGGGGGTGGGAGGCCTGCCGTCTGGATCCTTCTCTCTGCTCCTGCCAGTTGGTCTGTCTGTCTCTCTCTCTCTAGGTCTCTGGGGCTAGCTGTCTCATCCCTTTTTCTCTCTCCATTTTTTTTTTTTATTTCTAGCTCATTCTGTCCATGTCTTTTTGTCTCTGTTTTCCTTTGTCTCTTTAGATTTCCTTCTCTCTCAGCTGTCTCTCATTTTTTAATCTCTGTCTAGCTCTGCCTCTCTCTCTCTCTGTCTTTCTGTCTTTGTGGGCCTCCCTCTGACTGTATCTCTCCCTTTCTCTGCCTTTACCTTGGTTTCTCTCTCTGTCGCTTGTTTACTGTGTGTCTCTGTCCTTATTTCTTGCTGGAGTTCTCTCTCTCTCTCTCTCTCTCTCTCTCCCACCCTCCCTTTGTCTTCTACATTGGTCTCAGCTCCTCTCTCTCTCTGCTTCAGGGTGTGCCTGTTTTACTATTTCTCACTAACCCTGTCTCCCTTTGTCTGCCCCCCTCCTTTTCTTTCTCTGAGGTTCTTTCAGTTCTGTTTCTCCTTTTCTAACCCATCTCTGTCCCTCCAGCCCTGTCAGAGTACGTATCGTCTGTGGTCAGGAAGCCCAGCACACTTTGGCAGACTTGGCCCTGTGTGACCCTCACAGCCTTGCATGCAGCAGGCAGGACCAGGGCCTGGGCCCCGCCCCAGCTGGGAAGTCTGAGGCCCAGAGGTGTGCCTTAACGTGCAGGCTGTCACTGGCTGGCAGGAGGAGGAGCCTGGGAAGGACCCCAGCCCGTGTGGTCTGTGTGAGTGTGGGTGCCTAGGTCCCTGTGCTTGTGGCCAAGTGTGCCCTGAGGTGGGGGATCCTGCCACACCTTCCCAGCCCCTCCTATGCCACTGAACCCCAGCTTTCCTACAGCCAGACACACAGCGGAGGCCCCAACCCCACTCTGCCTGTGTCCTCTGGGACCCCTCCAGCCAGCTCCATGGGGCTTGGCCCAGAGTGGGTGTTGCAGAAGCTCCTCTCTGCGCTGACAGACACACAAGGCTTAGCGAGCCTGTCTGCCATCAAAGCCAGAGGCCACAGGGACCCCTGCCCACCCCTCTGGCTCTCAGGCAGGGCTGAGAGGACACTGAAAGGCTGAGCCGAGTCTTGGGGAGCCTTGAGGCTGCTGCCTGCTTTCTTCCTTCCCTGCTCCCCTTTTGCTGTGTGGCAGGACAAAATTAGTTTTGAGAAATGTTTTTCCATAAATCCCCATAGACTACCTGCTCTAAGTCACAGTTGTGCTGGGGGCTTGTCTGATCATCCGTTCCTCAGGGGTCTGAGGACAAGAAGGAACGTTCTGAGGGGCAGATAACTGACCCTGGCCATAGACCGTCCCACCAGGCCTGCCCTTTGTCACCTGGGTGAAGAGTTAACTTTCTCCCAGGGGGGCCCGAAGAGCCCCTCCACCCCCATCAGGGGAGGTGTGGTGGGAAGGCTGGGACTCAGGCATACTGGAATCCCTGCCATTCTCTGTGTCTTGAAAAGACTCCAAGTCTCCTCAGTTTAAAGGGAAAGAAATGAGTTTCAAGTTGGAAAAGTTGATGGGTGTCCGATGTGTCAGCGCTGTTGTCCAGCCTCGAAGGCCTGGTCGGGGGGTACATGAAAGGGGCCCTCGGAGGGGAGGCGGAGGGGCAGCCCTGCCCCAGCTCAGGCTGGGGACAGCCCCGCCCTCACCCGCTTCAGAAGCCCCTTGGAAGCCCCCAGGTAAACCCCCGCTCCCTTCCTTTATCCCAAGCCTCTTTTTTGAGGCTCGGCTGCAGTTTTGATCTTAACAAGTTTTTTCTTTTCCTTTTTTTTTTTTTTTTTGTCATCTTTGCCAGGGCTTTTACAATGCGATTTCCTTTTATTTTAAAAACGGTGGCTTTCAAGCCTCCTCTCATCTGTGATTGTTTCATGTTTGCAGGTTTCTGGAAGGTTTGGAGCCGGTCCCTGGGTGGGCGACTTCCCATCTGCTCCTTGCTCTGCTCGTGGGCTTGGAATGGGTTGGGGCCTTGGAGCAGCGGCCTTTTCAGCCCCCCTCTGGCTGGGCCAGCACAGATGAAGGAAGACCAGGGCCCTGGCCCCAGCCACCTGCCTCCCTGGGACTCCCCATTCTCCACACAGCAGGAGACCTTGAGGTGGGAGGCAGGCTGCCTGTGTTCCAACCTTGGGCAGGCACTTGCACTCTCTGGGCCTCAGCTGCCCCATCTGTACATTGGGAACACTGCTTGTATTCTAAGATATTAGCAATAAGTACTTACAAAGAGATAGTATAAGTAATACTGTAAGACAGTACATGAAAAGTGCCTAGCTCAGTGCCAGGCACAGAGTGAAGGACTCACAAATGGCACCTATTACAAAAGGGCAAACGCTTGGTCTCCCTGACATCTGAGAGGTGGCACTTGGATCTCTCACGCAGCTTCATCAGCTACTTGAAACACCTGCTGTCCACAAAGCACCTGCCCGCTGGTAAGACTCACCCTGCACCTTCCCAATTCTGAATCTTTCTTGACCCTGTTCCCTCTTTCAGCCTCCTCCTTAGGCTGAAAGCCTCCTGCATCCTTCAAGGGTCAGCTCACTGCCACCTACTTTGGGACATCTTTCTTCACTTCCCTCAACCCAATAAAAATTAATCATACCTTTTTCCGTGCGAGTCTGATTGAATTTGGTTTTTTATTTTATTTAGCGATGTAGCAAGCGCTGACTTTGGTCTGGCTTTAGAAGCAGGGGAAGTTAGGGTTTCCATTTCCTGTCTGTGCTGCCATGAGCATACTCCTCAATCCCTGGGAGCCTCAGTTTCCTCATCTGTAGATGCGGATGGCTAGGTCCTCCATAGTGTGAGCTCCATGAGAGAGTGGATGTCTGTTTCTTACATTCTGCTGTATTTCCAGCGGAAGGACACAGTAGGTGCTCAACAAATAAGTTAGTAGGAAGGGTGACCACTGGGTTGATAAGGATTCTTTTTTTAAAAAAGTTTTTTAGAATGGAGATTTATTTATTTATTTACTTATTTATTTTTAAGGAGAGAGCAAAGGCTTACGCAAGTGGGGGAGGGGCAGAGAGAAAGGGAGAGAGAGAATCTCAAACAGGCTCCACGCTGAGTGTGGAGCTCGACCTCACAACCCTGAGACCATAATCTGAGCTGAAACCAAGAGTCAGATGCTTAACCAACTGAGCCACCCAGGTGCCCCTGGGTTGATAGGATTCTTAACTACTTGGCATATAAATGTGCTCGATAGATGGCAATCCTCTTTATTATGTCCATTATTATCAAGAAACATTCATTTGCTCATCCATTACAATGAATGGAGTGGTCCTATATACAGGACCCTGGGTCAGGCACGAGGCCTCCAGAGGAATGGGTGAGATCTCTGCTCTTGCAGGGGCTCTCGCTGTGGAGACGGATCGGGAGACAGAGTGATGATGCCATGGCAGCAACTGGCCAGACCGGAGGTTCGGAAGCCATTCGAAGTTTTTCTTGTCCATTGCTTCTGCAAGACACAGCCCATGTCCTGCACACACTAGATGCCTGGTGAACGCCCTGAACTGAATTAAAAGTGATCCTTAGAAGACCAACCCTTGAAAGCTGCCCCAGGTTGGGCTACTGCTCAACTTAGCCAATCCCAATTCCCGGAGGCCTAAGGCAGCTCTCTGCTCTACCATGATGCTTTTTTAATTTTTTTTACTTTAATTTTTTTAATGGTTTTATTCATTTTTGAAAGACAGAGAGATACAGAGTGCTAATGGCAGAGGGGCAGAGAGAGAGGGGGAGACACAGAATCGGAAGCAGACTCCAGAATCTGAGCCGTCAGCACAGAGCCCGACGAGGGGCTTGAACTCACGAGATGTGAGATCATGACCTGAGCCAAAGTTGGATGCTTAGCCAACTGAGCCACCCAGGTGCCCCATGATGCTTTTTTAAAAATAAGCTCAGGGGCGCCTGGGTGGCGCAGTCGGTTAAGCGTCCGACTTCAGCCAGGTCACGATCTCGCGGGCCGGGAGTTCGAGCCCCGTGTCGGGCTCTGGGCTGATGGTTCAGAGCCTGGAGCCTGTTTCCGATTCTGTGTCTCCCTCTCTCTCTGCCCCTCCCCCGTTCATGCTCTGTCTCTCTCTGTCCCAAAAATAAATAAACGTTGAAAAAAAAATTAAAAAAAAAAAAAGCTCAGCTGCCCCAGGAGACCCAAAGTTGGTTTGGGTTTTGGGGGGATGCACAGTAACAACTTCTCAGCTCCTGGCCATCAGATGGTCTGTCTGCTGCTTCCTCTTCTCTTTTCCCCTCTTGCGTAATGTTATTCCCCCTACAAAGAGGAACATAAGACTAATAATACATCACTTTGGTGTCCCCAAAGTGAGGATTTTCAGGTGCTTCTTTCAACAGCCAGCTCAGGCCCTTCAACACCATCTGGGGCCTCCAGGAGCACCTGAGCACGTGTCCATGGAGCCTAACCCCTGATACCTATGGGTCTGCATTTGGAAAGTCCCTTCTGTACTCAGCCCAGCTCCTAGGTTCCATTCCAGCACAAGTTGCTTCTTTCACTCTCCAGTCCTTATCCACCCTGCCCAGAGAACTTAAAACCCTCCCTCTCCTCTTCATTATTCAAGTTAATAGTGGACGTCTCCCATTGCTTGTGCAGCCTCCATTCTCCTTAATGGGATCAAGCACACTCTGCTCACCTTTCTCTGGGGAACAACATCTTCCCTCAGGTTAGGTCTTGGACGTTAAGTGGCATGGATGATACCCCTGAAGCCATGGAACATGTGACTCACAGCTGACCAATCAGAGTATCAAAGCCTTCTGACCATGTGATTGGCTCATGAATGTCCATGTGGCCAAAGAGAGGCCAATCAGGTCCAATAACTGCCTCTCCATAGACTAGAAAAGAGCCGCTGCCCGCTATTGGCTGCAGAGAGAGGAGATTAGAAACTGGGTGTCAGGGGGTGGGGTCACTGTTTGGGGACAGCCTGTTTGCAGTAAGGAGGACAGAGGGGTAATGGAGAGATCTTTGTTTAAGTCACTGTATTCTGCCAGTCCTACTTACTTCTGGACTTTCAGTGACATGAGCCAATGAATGCTGCGTGTGTGTGCATGCGCGTGCGTGCACGCGCGCGCATGCACACACACACACACACACACATATCCCTACCTTTCTTTTTTTAAAAGTCACTTGGAATTGGATTTTCACCTCTTGCAATAGAAATATTTAACCATTCGTTAGAGCCTCCCGTGGATCCGAAATTCCCAGCCCTGGAAGCAGGAAGACAGGTCAAGTGCTCCCCCCTCCCCGACCCAAGGCCCCTTCCACAGCGGGATCCCAGACCCAGCTGCCTTTTTAAACAAATTATCCTCCTTTGACCTTGCCTGGTGGAGAGAGGAGACCTGTCTTCTCTTTAAACTGAGGGAGAGACACTGCAGAATGAAGGAGTACAAACCACCTTCTCTTCTGCTCTGAGGGGTAGGGGGCACACTCCTTGGGTTTTTGTATTGTATTACCTTTTATTTTTTTCAGATTTACCTTCCTAATTAGGTTTTGCTCAGGCAAATATATTAGGATTAGTTCGTAATCCTTGAGCTCACAGAAAGTGAGGGTGGGATGGCTCTGAAGAGGGCTAGGAGCCAGGAGGAGGTGTTTGCTGTGGAAAATGCACAGAGTGGGGAAGCACATGGGTAACAAGGTGTGTCCACACATGAAATGGGGTTTAGATGTATTATTTATTCATTTCCTTAACCCACAGTTATGAATTATCAGTTATGTGCTAGGTGTTGGCAAACAGGACCAGGTACCTGTTTTTACAGGACCCCATGGAGGGAAAGGACCAGCAAGAAGGACAAATAAACCTGGTGGGAACAGGTTCCCTGGGCTTCTGTGGCACTTAAGTGCTGTAGAAATGTTCTCAGCTCCAGCAGGTGGACAGGGCTCTTCAAAGAAGTGTTCCTACTTACCCTTTGCCTATGTTTGGCCTCTTCTGGTTCCAGCACAGGGCCAATCGTGCTCCCCAAAGGCCACCCTCTAAGCCACGTGGCTGGGCTAGAAGTGGGCCCAGGCTGTGTCAGAGCCAACTCCCCTTCTGACCATCCAGACAAGGAAGACTCTTCCCCAGTCCAGATTTCCCCTTTCCTTAGGGTGAGCCCACTTGGGGCCTTCAGGGTCCCTTCCACCCAGGACTTGTGGTCAAGACTCTACCAATTCACAAAGTGCTGTGCTTTAATAAGCAAGGGGACAAGTGTGAATTTTCCTCCCATGAGGTTCCGGGGCTTCAGGACAAATGTGTCCACAGCATGGGAGGTAGGGGGGTGAGGGTGAGGGCTGCGGAGAGGCAGACTTGGTCAGGTCCCCAGAAGTGTGGCCATATTCTTCCCCTAGCCATGGGTGCCCACTTGCTGATTATTTGCCCACTCAAGGAAGCCTCTTAAAAAGCCCTTTTGTGAACAGGGAAGGCTGTAAGATGGCTAGTGGCTCCACCCTGACAGACAAGCATCTCAGCAGCTTGCAAAGAGCTTCTTCTTAAAGTTCTGCCTGATCAGGCCCTGGGGCTGCAGGCCAAGTCTCTGAGTGAGCAGGCCTCTTGAGGACACAGCTGATAGGCTGCCTCCCTGGGCCTCCCTTGAGCCTTCACTTCTCCCATCAGGTATGGTTCAGCGTCTGCTCCAGAGGGCTGAATGCCACCCTCTCTGCCTTGGGACCAGAGAACTTTCTGAGCTGTTGAACCTGGGGTTGCTGTGATTCATGAGGAGGCACGAACATGGGGTGGTGAAGGGCACTGGGACCTGTGTAGGGAACAAGGGAGCCTTTGGATGGTGGATGCCTCCCACGAGGAGAGCATGGGGCCACCTGCCCTCCATTTTGCCTGTCATTATCACTTACCAATGGCTGTTACGGAGCCCAGAGCTTTCCAGAAGGCCATCCACCCTGAAATGAAAACCTAGCCTCCTTAGAGTGGGTCAGAGGAAGGGTGCTTATGGCCCATCTCTCTCTCATTGAGGGTAGTTTACATCTGTTAGTAAATTTAAATGATGAGTTAAATGGGGTTTAGATGGCACCACTAGGTCTGTCCTCTGCCTAACGACTGTGCAAATCCATTAGCCGTTCCTGGGCTGGTGCACAGGCGTGCTCCAGGGTGACTCTTCCTCCTGGTGGGGATGTTTTTTCCCCACACCCACCCAGGGCCGGGACACTGACGGAGGTTCAACCTTCGCGTCAGAAGACATGGGGAGTGACTGCCATAGAGCCTGGGAGGAAGGGCTTTTGCAGTCCCTTCCTCCCCCTGCCTCCCCCTGCCTTCCCCTGCCTCCCTGGCCTTCTTCCTCTCTCTCTAGCTCAGCTGGGGGTGGGGGCGCACCTCATGCTCTGCAGCCCTCTGCTCCACAGTAAAGCTGAGCTGAGAACGTCCTGGGAAGCTGCTGAGTCCAACCTTGCACATTAGAGCTGGGGAAGCGGAGGCTCCCTGGTTTGGGAGAAGGTCAGGGTTCTGTCCTGCTTCCTGGCTGGGTGGGCACAGAGCACCTGGATGGAGTGTGGTTCTCAACCCCGGCTGCACATGAGCCTCTCCCGGGCAGCCTTGAACAAAGGTGAGCCTGGGCCCTGTCCAGTGATCCCAACGTCACTGATCTGGGTGGGGCCCATGCACGGGCATCTTTTACAGGCCTCCAGGTGACGCTGATATGCACCAAGGTTGAGAACCACCAAGTGGTTACACAGGGTGGTTAAAGGGAGGAGCTTCAACCTGAATTAATGCTGCTGATGAATGGTGTGGCATGACTTCCCCTCCCACCTCACTGCCCAGTATAAGGTCACATGCCCACCTTTAAGTCACTGGTGAGAGTCATGGGACAATCGCGATCAGCTGACACCTATGGTGACCCATCCTCTGAAGCGGAGGATGGACTGAGCTGCCCCCCAGCACCAGGGTGAATACCCCCGAAAATTCCACACACCCCCACACCTCCGCATACTAGTATGAGTTTCCTGAGGCTGCTGTCACAAATTACTACCAACTTTATGACTTACAACAACAGAAATGTGTTCTTGCACAGTTCTGGAGGCCAGAAGTCTGGAATCAAGGTGTCAGCAGGACCATACTTCCACCAAAGGCTCTGGGGGACAATCTGGTTTGGCTTCCTCCAGCTTCTAGTGGCTCCAAGTGTTCCTTGGCTTGTGGCCACATCCCTCCACTCTGCCCATGTGGTCACATGGCCTCCACCTCTCCTCTGTGTCTCTGGTAAGGACACTAGTCATGCATTTAATTCAGGATGATCTCATCTCAAGCTCCTTAACATAGTTATGTGTATAAATGGCCCTTTTCTAAATAAGGTGGATTAACAGATTCCAGGGGTTGGGATGTGGACATACCTTTTTGAGGGCCACATTCAACCCACTTTAATATTTTTTACTCCTGTCAGCAGAGATGAGGGTGGTGGGGGAACTCATCTTGGTAAACAGGCAAGACACCGAACATCTAACAAAGCGGGGTCCTTATGAGGCTTTGGCGGGTGAGGAGGCTGCATGACCGGCTGTGCAGGACCTGCCTGGAGGAGGAGGAAAAGTGGGGTCTGCTTTTGGGTTTACTTCTAACCTCTATCTGCTTCATTTCCCCACTGTCCCATTTGGTCTTGATTACCTGAATTTTTCTGCGATCACAGAAATCTCTCATTGTGCCTTGCTGACATCCGAAACAGCAAGTGGCCTGCCTGGCATTGAAAAGGAGAAAGTTTCTGGAGGACGCACCTGGAGCCAGAAGCCTTGAAGTGCTGTGGGTCTGGGGCTTGTGAAGGAAAGCTGGGATGGGGGAGGGCTGGGGGAAGGCAGCGGACTGGCCCCGAGGGCCAGAGACAGTCTCCCCGATGTCGGGGAGCATGAGAGTTGCCCACCCTGGGCACTTGGGGTCCTCTCTGGCCCAAACTGAGAAGCCTCCATTGTTGCCTTTCCCAAGCCCCCAGGCCTGAAAGCTAGAGGACCAGGGAGAATAAAAGAGTCTGGGCAAAAGGCTCCAAGGCAGTTCAAAGAAGAGAGAGACTGGGGATGAAGGTTTCAAGCCACATCCAAGGGGAGGGCTTTTCATCTGCCAGCCTTTGAATTGGGAATCAAGGCGGGCAAAGTTACTACCAGGTTAAAGTTTAAATGGCACAGAAAGGGGAGACGGGAAGATGAAACAACGGCCGTCTGGCCAGGGGAACAAAGCCGGAGCCCAGCCCGGGCACCTGGCCGCAGAGGCACCCGGCTGCAGCGGTCCCAGCAAGGAGAGGCTGTGACGCTCCCATTGTTCGGCTGAAGAAGGAAAGTAATTGAAAGGAAAGGTGAGGCAAGGAGAGGCAGCCGGCGTGTGTGACTGCCTGGATCGTTAGAAAATAATTTAAAGGGAACAGGCTTATCAAGCAGTTTCTCTTATGGAAATGCCATCATTGAAGAGAAAGGAAGAGGAGGGTGGGGGAAGCCTTTTCATTCTTTGAAAAGAGTGATTTTTTTTTTTCCACTCACCAAGTGCAGACTTGAATGTCATGTGAAATCTCTTCTATTTGCAAACTTGCTTCACTCCCTAACTTCCCCAGGGTTGGGAGTCCTCTCTAGCACCTTGGAGGCTGGGGGAGCTGGGACTTTTGGAGGGACCACATGGCTGCATCTGCACAGGTGTTTCATTCTGAGACAGGTTCCCTGCTTCCTAGGGAAGCATGGTCTCTGTTCAACCTCCTGGCTGGTTCTGCCTGTCCTCCTTGCTACCAACTGTGATTTCTGCGGTCCTAGAGATAAGTAC